GCAGCCTCCCTCCCCTCTCCCTCCCTCCCCCCCTCCCTCCCCTCCCCTCCCTCCCTCCCTCCCTCCCTCCCTCCCTCCCTCCCTCCCTCCCCTCCCTCCCCTCCTCCCTCCCTCCCTCCCTCCCTCCCTCCCTCCCTCCCTCCCTCCCTCCCTCCCTCCCTCCTCCCCTCTCCCTCCCTCCCTCCCCCCTGACCCCTGACCTCTGACCCCTCACCATTACCAGGATGACCACAGCCTCCCTCCCCTCTCCCTCCTCCCCTCCGACCCCTAACTCCTCACCCATTAGCAGGATGACCAGCAGCCTCCCTCCCCCTCTCTCCCTCCCTCCCTCCCTCTGACCCTTAACTCCTCACCATTAGCAGGATGACCAGCAGCCTCCCTCCCTTCCCTCCCCTCCCTCCCCTCTCTCCCTCCCTCCCTCCGACCCCTAACTCCTCACCATTAGCAGGATGACCAGCAGCCTCCCGCCCCTCCCCTCCCTCCCCTCCCTCCCCTCTCCCTCCCTCCCTCTGGACCCCTGACCTCTGACCCCTCACCTGTAGCAGGATAACCAGCAGCCTCCCTCCCCCTCTCCCTCCCCTCTCCCTCCCTCCCTCCCTCCCCTCTGACCCCTAACCCCTCACCTGTAGCAGGATGACCAGCAGCCTCCCTCCCCCTCTCCCTCCCTCCCCTCCCCCCTCTCCCTCCCCTCCCTCCCTCCCTCCGACCCCTAACCCCCCCTCACCTGTAGCAGGATGAACCAGCAGCCTCCCTCCCCCCTCCCCTCCCTCCCCTCCCCCTCTCCCTCCCTCCCCCTCCCCTCCCTCCGACCCCTAACCTCCTCACCTGTAGCAGGATGACCAGCAGCCTCCCTCCCCCCTCTCCCTCCCTCCCCTCCCCCTCTCCCCTCCCTCCCTCCCTCCCTCCTCCGACCCCTAACTCCTCCCTGTAGCAGGATGACCAGCAGCCTCCCTCCCCCTCTCCCCTCCCTCCCCTCCCCCTCTCTCTCCCTCCCTCCCTCCCTCCGACCCCTAACTCCTCACCTGTAGCAGGATGACCAGCAGTCTCCTGAAGTGACCTGATGTGTCTCCATTTATATCCTCCTCCAGGTCTGCATCATACTCTGGAAGACAAACACACAATCAGTGAGTCTGTGTGTGAGTGTGTGAGTGTGTGCATGTGTGTGTGTGTGGTGTGTGTGAGTCTGTGTGTGTGTGTGTGTGTGTGAGAGTCTGTGGTGTGTGTGTGTGAGAGTCCTCTGTGTGTGTTGTGTAATTGTGTGGAGAGTCGTGTGTGTGTGTGTGTTGTTGTGTGAGAGTCTGTGTTGTTTGTGAGTCTGTGTGTGGTGTGTGTACCGTTGTGGTGTTGTTGTGTCTGTGTGTGTGTTGAGTCTGTTGTTGTGTGGTTGTTTTTTTTTGTTTTGTGTGTTTGTCCTTTGTGTGTGTGTGAGTCTTTGTGTGTGTGTGTTTTTGTGTGTGTGTTGTTTTGTGTTTGTGTTTGTTAGTCTTTTTGTGTGTGTGTGTGTGTGATGAGTCTGTGTGTGTGTGTGTGGTGAAGTCTGTGTGGTGTGTTTGGTGTGTGTTAGAGTCTGTGTTTGTGTGGTGTGGAGTCCTGTGTGTTGTGTGGGTTTGTGTGTTGAGAGTCTGTTTGTGTGTGTGTGTGTGTTGGGAGGAGTCTGTGGTGTGTTTGTGTTGTGTGTTTGTGAGTCTGTGTGTGTGTGTGGTACGTGTGTGTGTGTGGGTGTTTTGTGTGTGGTGTTTGTCTTTTGTGTTGTGATTCTGGTTTGTGTTTTGTGGGGTGTGTTTTTTTGTGTGTGTTCTGTGTGTGTGGTGTGAGGTCTGTGTGTGTGTTGTGTGTGTGGGTTGTGTCTGTGTGTGGGTTGGGTGTGAGTCTGTGTGGTGTTGTTGTGTGTGTGTGTTGTGTGGTGTGTGTGTGTGTGTGTGTGTGTGGTGGTGGTGTGTGTGTGTTGGTGTGGTGTTGTGGTGTGGGTGTGTGTGTGTTGTGTTTACCCTGGCGGTAAGCAGCAGGCAGTGATGTCCTTAATCTGCTGGGCCGTTCTAGAAGACAGGATCTCAATCAGCACCTTCTCTTCAGTCCCCCACTCCCCCCCCGCCCCCCTACCCGTGACACACACACTGTCACTATGACATCGGCACACAGTCACTATGATATCAAATCGTCACTCACAGGATCATGACAAACTCACTATTCCCGGGTCAAATACTTGATGGCGTTCCGTAGTGATTCACATCCGTGAGGATGGGCGGAGGCATCAGAGCCACCACCAGAGTCTCAAACTTTCCCCCCAGTTTAACCCTGCAGATCACCTACCAGGTCCGGAGGAGAGGACTAGGCGAAGTAGAGGAGAGCGGGAATAGGAGAGCGGGGAGAGTGAGATGAGAGAGGAGAGACTGATATATGGAGATGGGGATATTCGCCTCTTCTCCTTTATGCGATGGTGAGCTGCGAGCTTTCTCGGACGATTGAAGTCTATAGCTCGATCAGCGTGCGCGCTCTCGCGCTCGCGCGACTGAGAGGTCTCGCTTTTCTCTCTATCTCTTCTCTCTTCTGTTCGCATCTTTCTCTGTCGCGCTCGCTGTAGCGTCTCGCTCGGCGCTCGCTCGAGCTCGCGCTGAGCTCTCTCTCGCGCTGCTATTCTCTCTCATCCTCCTCTAACTTCCTTCTCGGCTAGTTTCTCTTTCTCTCTCTCTAGGATAAGAGTACCGGAGAGTATACATGTTAGTAAGATGTATATGAGAGAGCTCTCTCTCTCTCTTCGAACTTATTTTTCTCTTCTCTCTTCTCTTCTCTTCTATTACTGTCTCTCTCCTCTCCTTCGTGTCTCGGTGCTCGTACGTTGTTTCTCTGCGGTGCTCTCGTATCGCCGTGTTTCTCGTATTCCATCCTCATGTGTTTTAATCACTCTTTTGGTCTCTCATTCTGCTTCTCTTTTTCTCTCTTTCACTCTGTCTCTTCTCGCTTTTCCTCCGTGTTCTTCTCTTCTCCCCCTCTCTGTCTACTCTCCTACGGTGTCTTCTCTCTCTCTCTCTCTCTCTCCTTGCTCTTTCTTTCTCTCTGTGTCTCTTTCTCTCTCTCTCTCTCCTTCTCTTTTCTCTGGCTTCTCCTTCTCTCTTCTCCCTTGCTGCTGTCTTTAATTCTATTCTCTGCATGATTTCTTACCATCGACGGTTGTTTGGCTCTGCTTTGACTTCTGCTCCTGTCTGAATTCTTGGGTTCGCGGGTGGTCTTCCTCTTGGAGCCGGTCAGTCCAGGATTTTTTTCTCATTATGGTTTCTCTTTCGCTCTCTTGTTCTTCTTTATCTTTCCGTATGGTCTTTCTCCTCTTTTTTAAGTTCTTTTTTTTTTTTTTTTGTGTGCTAGTTGTTTGTTTATCATTTTGGTTGTCATATTTTTGTTTTTTCTTTTTGTTTTTCTTTTTCTTTTTTTTTTTTTTTTTCTTTTGGGTTCTTCTTTTGTTGTGGTACGCGTTCGTCTTGTGTTTGTTCTTGTGGGTTGTGTTTATCTTTAATCTTTGTTGTGTCTTTGGTGTTGTCTTGTGGTTAATGTGGTCTGTCTTGTGGCTGTCTTGTGGTTGTTCTGTGGTTGTGAGTCTGTCTTGGTCGGTTGAGTGTTGTGGTTGTCTTGGCTGGTTTTCATTGCGTGGTTGTAGTTGCTCCTTGTGGTTCGTCTTGTGGTTGTCCTGCTGTGGGTTGTCCTGTGGCTGCTGTCTTGATGGTGTTGGATATGTGTCTAGTGTGGTGGTTTGTTTTTATTGTTCGTCCTCTGTTGTCTGTCTTGTGCGTTGTCTTGTGGTTTTCTGCCTTGTGGGTTTTCTTGGATGGTTTCTCTTTGTGTTTTGTTGTGTTTGTTTCTTTTTTTTATTTTTGTTTTGCTTGTTGTCTTGTAGGTTGTCTTACGCTGGTTGTGGTTTCGCTTTGTCCTGTTTCGTCGTTGCTGTGGTTCCTTTGGTGACGTTGTCCTTGTGGTTGTCCTATGTGGTGTCTAGGTAGTGGGGTGGGTGGGTGTGTGTGGTGGGGGGGGTCTTGGTTGTGTTCGTGGTTTGCTTGTGTTGTGTTTTTGTGGTTGTCCTTGTGGTTGTCTTGTGGTTCGTGTTTGTGGTTGTGGTTTGTCTTGTGGTTGTCTTTGTGGGTTGTGTTGTGGTTGTGTTTGCTGGGTTGTTGTCTGTGTTCGTGGTTGTCAGCATTGCTGGTTTTCGTGTTTGGTGGTGTCTGTGGTTTTGGTTGTTCTATGTGTGGTGGTTAGCATCTTTGTGGTTGTGGTTGTCTTGTGGCTTGTTCTTGATGGATAGTGTCTCTGTGTTGTTTGTTTTTTGGGTTTTGTCTTCGTGGTTTGTCTTGTGGTTGTGGTCTGTCTTGTATGTCTATTTTCTTTTTGTTTTTTCTTTCGTTTTATCTCCTTGTTTTTTGTTGTGGTTTGTGGTCTGTCTTGTGGTTGTGTCTGATGGTTGTGCGTTGTCTTGGTGCGTTGTCCTTGTGGGTGTAGTCTGTCTTGTGTTTGTCTTAGTGGTTGTTGTTGTTGGTTGCTGGGTTTTTCTTGTTGGGGTTGTCTTGTGTTTGTCTTGTGGTTGTCTTGTGGTTGTCTTGTGGGGTTGTGTTGTGGTTTGTTTTGTGGTTTGTCTTGTGGTTGTTCCTTGTCCTGTTGTGTTGTGGTTGCATCTTGTGAGTTTTGTTGTGTTTGTCTTGTGGTTGTGTTTGATGGTTGTGTTGTGGGTATTTTGTGTTCTGTGGGTTGTCTTGTGATTTTCCGTGTGGTTGTCTTGTGGGTTACGATCGTTGTGGTTGTGTGTTGTCTCTGGCTGGGTTGTTTTGTGGTTTCTTGTGGCTGTCTTGGTGTTGTACTTGTGTGATTGTGGTTGTGGTTGTCTGTGGTTTTGTTGTGGTTTGTGGTGTGGTTGTCTTGGGTGGGGTTGTACTTGTGTGTTTCCTTGTGGTTGTGTTGGGTTGTCTTTTTGTTGTGGTTGTGTTTGTGTTGTGGTTGTTTTTTATTTTGTTCTTTTTTTGTCATTGTTTTGTGTGTCCGGTTTGTTCTTGTGGTTTTCTTGTTGTTTTGGTTTTGTCTTGTGGTTGTGTTTGTTGTTGTTGTGTTGTTCCGATGCTGGTTGTGTTTGTGTTGTGTTGTGGCTGTCTTCGTGGGTTGGTCTTGGTTGTGTTGTGGTTTGTGGTTTGTCTTGTTGTTGTCTTGTGGTTTGTCTTTGTGGTTGTCTTGTTTGTGTGTTGTGGTTGTTGTTGTGGTTGTGTTCTAACCTTGCCGTGCAGGGTCTTGTATGCAGCTTTGATCTGCTGTCTCTGGCTGTTGCTACGTGACGTCAACAACTTCATGATGGAATCTTCATCAGTTCCTATGGCAACAACAAAAACCATAGTCAAATCTTTGGTGCCATGTTTTACTCACTCACTTTGCGTGGACAGTCATAATATTCAGAGCACTGACCCAGCCCCTTCATGGCCTTGTAGAGTGTCTCTGCATCTTGGTTGGCGTTGAAGTTTCCACTGGCTCTCACACTGCCTCGACCAGCCTATCAGAGAACAGACACACAGGAGGACTCTGGGTAATGAATACTGAACAAAAATATAAAACACAACATGCAACAATTTCAAAAGATTTTACTGAGTTACAGTTCATATGAGGAAATCAGTCAATTGAAATAAATTCATCAGGCCCTAATCTATGGATTTCACATGACTGGGAATAAAGATATGCAGCTGTTGGTCACAGATACCTTTACACACACACACACACACACACACACACACACACACACACACACACACACACACACACACACACACACACAACCTCATTAACCATGCACATAGGACTGGCTCCTCCCCTCAGCTAACAGGAGACACAGGAGAAGTCTGTGTGTGTGTGTGTGTGTGTGTGTGTGTGTGTGTCTCTGTGTGTCTCTCTCTGTGTGTGTGTGTGTGTGTGTGTGTGTGTGTCTGTGTCTGTGTGTGTGTGTGTGTGTGTGTGTGTGTGTGTGTGTGTGTCTCTCTCTGTGTGTGTGTGTGTGTGTGTGTGTGTGTGGTGTGTGTGTGTGTGTGTGTGTGTGTGTGTGTGTGTGGTGTGTGTGTGTGTGTGTGTGTGTGTGTAGTAGGGCAGTACAGCAGCAGTCCAAGGCCAGTGATGTAAACTGAGACTGGTGGTTTTGGGAACATTGTTGTTTAAAGAGGAGAACCACGGAATGTTTCTGGAATGAGACGAACACAACAGAATCCAGGATTCTGTCTGTCCATCTGTCTGTCAGAGGAATGCCAAAAAACATCCTCCCCCCTCCCCACCCCGACACACAGCATCATGAGCTGATTGGATTCTAACGGAGAAGATTGTGAGACTAACAAGAGAACAGGAGACGTGCAGAGCAGACACTCAGACAGGAATGAACCAAAACAACACACCCAGTTCATATTGTTCAAAATCCAGTGCATTTGGTATTCAGACCCCTTGACTTTTTCCACATTTTGTTACGTTACAGCCTTATTCTAAAATTGATTAAATAAAAGCAACGTCAGCACAATAACTGTTCGTCGGTAGCTTCATGAAATGGGTTTCCATGGCCGAGCAGCCGCACACAAGACTAAGATCACCATGCGCAATGCCAAGCGTCGGCTGGAGTGGTGTAAAGCTCACCGCCATTGGACTCTGGAGCAGTGGAAACGCGTTCTCTGGAGTGATGAATCGCGCTTCACCATCTGGCAGTCCGATGGACGAATTTGGGTTTGGTGGATGCCAGGAGAACGCTACCTGCCCCAATGCATAGTGCCAACTATAAAGCTTGGTGGAGGAGGAATAATGGTCTGGGGCTGTTTTTCATGGTTCGGGCCCCTTAGTTCCAGTGAAGGGAAATCTTATTGCTACAGCATACAATGACATTCTAGACATTCTAGACGATTTTGTGCCTCCAACTTTGTGGCAACAGTTTGGGGAAGGCCCTTTCCTGTTTCAGCAGGACATTGCCCCTGTGCACAAAGCGGGGTCCATACAGAAATGGTTTGTCGAGATCGGTGTGGAAGAACTCGACTGGCGTGAACAAATCCCTGACCTCAACCCCATCCAACACCTTTGGGATGAATTGGAACGCCGACTGCGAGCCAGGCCTAATCGCCCAACATCAGTGCCCGCGACCTCACTGATGCTCTTGTGGCTGAATGGAGAGAGGAGAGAGATAGAGATAGATAGATTGATAGGACCATCCCTTGGGACCGTCAGGTGACATCCTCAAAAGGACCTGACATGGTCCTCAGTGACGTCCTGGTAACTTCCAGGGAACTATCCCGGAGAACGTTCCGGACCATCATACATTTTACATTACATTGTAGTCATTTAGCAGACGCTCTTATCCAGAGCGACTTACAGTTAGTGCATACATTATTTTATATTTTTCATACTGGCCCCCCAGTGGGAATCGAACCCACAACCCTGGCGTTGCAAACACCATGCTCTACCAACTGAGCTACATCCCTATCATGCGACTTCCCCTTGACCGTCATGAAAACGTCCCCTTGTGGCCATTGAACGTCCCATAGATAACATCCTAACAGAACCAAATATAAACCTTTTCATAACGTTCCCTAATGGACATCAAATTACCAAACCGGGACCTGTACTGAACATCCTCTAATGGTCCTGGGGTTAACGTCATGTTTTAATATTCCTAGAATGGGATAACTTCTTGACTGAAACCCTTCAAGGGACCTAATGGCAACGTCACCGAATGTCCTTAGGACGTCCCCTGTTTGCTGGGAACCCAGTTGTAGACTGAACTGAATGATCCCACAGAGAGGGACGTGACGCGAGAGCCATATCTCTGCCCAAAATCTCTTCACATTAAGCAGATCCTTAATTATTAAGCAGGTGAGGAGTTTTTGTATGGGGGGCAAATGAGTGTCGAATTGTCAAGGTAAACATGAATTGCTATTTTGATACAGTGGTTTGTGAAAATATTCACCTCCCTTGGCATTTTCCCTATTTTGTTACCTTACAACCTGGAATTAAAATTGATTTTGGGGGGGTTTGTATCATTTGATTTACACAACATGCCTACCGCTTTAAAGATGCAAAATATTTTTTGGGATGAAACAAACAAGAAATAAGACAAAAAAACAGAAAACTTGAGCGTGCATAACTATTCACCCCCCCAAAGTCAATACTTTGTAGAGCCACCTTTTGCAGCAATTACAGCTGCAAGTCTCTTGGGGTATGTCTCTATAAGCTTGGCACATCTAGCCACTGGGATTTTTGCCCATTCTTCAAGGCAAAACTGCTCCAGCTCCTTCAAGTTGGATGGGTTCCGCTGGTGTACAGCAATTTTTAAGTCATACCACAGATTCTCAATTGGATTGAGGTCTGGGCTTTGACTAGGCCATTCCAAGACATTTAAATGTTTCCCCGTAAACCACTCAAAATTTTCTTTAGCAGTATGCTTAGGGTCATTGTCCTGCTGGAAGGTGAACCGCCGTCCCAGTCTCAAATCTCTGGAAGACTGAAACAGGTTTCCCTCAAGAATTTCCTTGTATTTAGCGGCATCCATCATTCCTTCAATTCTGGACAGTTTCCCAGTCCCTGCCAATGAAAAACATTCATTGGTGTTCTCGGGGTGATGAGAGGTGTTGGGTTTGCGCCAGACATAGCGTTTTCCTTGATGGCCAAAAATCTCAATTTTAGTCTCATCTGACCAGAGTACCTTCTTCCATATGTTTGGGGAGTCTCCCACATGCCTTTTGGCGAACACCAAACATTTTTTCTTATTTTTTTCTTTAAGCAATGGCTTTTTTTCTGGCCACTCTTCCGTAAAGCCCAGCTCTGTGGAGTGTATGGCTTAAAGTGGTCCTATGGACATATACTCCAATCTCCGCTGTGGAGCTTTGCAGCTCCTTCAGGGTTATCTTTGGTCTCTTTGTTGCCTCTCTGATTAATGCCCTCCTTGCCTAGTCCGTGAGTTTTGGTGGGCGGCCCTCTCTTGGCAGGTTTGTTGTGGTGCCATATTCTTTCCATTTTTTAATAATGGATTTAATGGTGCTCCGTGGGATGTTCAAAGTTTCAGATTTTTTTAAATAACCCAACCGTGATCTGTACTTCTCCACAACTTTGTCCCTGACCTGTTTGGAGAGCTCCTTGGTCTTCATGGTGCCGCTTGCTTGGTGGTGCCACTTGCTTAGTGGTGTTGCAGACTCTGGGGCCTTTCAGAACAGGTGTATATATTCTGAGATCATGTGACATATCACGTGACACTTAGATTACACACAGGTGGACTTTATTTAACTAATTATGTGACTTCTGAAGGTAATTGGTTGCACCAGATCTTATTTAGGGGCTTCATAGCAAAGGGGGTGAACACATATGCACGCACCACTTTTCATTTCACTTCACCAATTTGGACTATTTTGTGTATGTCCATTACATGAAATCCAAATAAAAATCCATTTAAATTACAAGTTGTAATGCAACGAAATAGGAAAAACGCCAAGGGGGATTAAAAACTTTTGCAAGGCACTGTACGTGAGGACTATTTGATCTAATATACGTTTTTTAATGCTTAGGTTGCTAATGTATATAAGTGAGATCCGGCAACTTTGAGAAAAAACTACTTATATCCCAGTTGTTCCTGTTGAAATTCAAGACGCGCTATGCATATTCATAAGGTCGATGAATTTGAAATACCTTCGACGTAGAATCCAGGCGGTTGACGACAACACCCCTCATCGAATATTCAACACCCCTCATCAAATATTCAACACCCCTCATCGAATATTCAACACACCTCATCGAATATTCAACACCCCTCATCGAATATTCAACACCCCTCATCTTTATATGGGAGTTGTGCCTGTTATTCACACACCCATCTGCCCTCTCATTGGCTAGAATGGTCCCACCTGATCTTGCCTCCTCCCGCCTGCCTTCCATCTTTAAGGACGTGTACATCCGTTATTAGAGCGGTCACTCAACCATCTTGTCAATATAATGGATCATCTTTGACCCTTCTTTGAAGGTCATAGGGGTGGTGTGGGCTCAGGTACGCGCTGCCTGAACACAGCCTGACAAGAGTCTGGGTCCATCTCCACTCTGTAAGGTCAAGGCATGGTCAATAACAGTCTGGTTCCATCTCCACTCTGTAAGGTCTCAAGGCTTATGGTCAATAACAGTTGGTTCCATCTCCAATCGCTAAAGGGGGGGGTTCAAGGGCAATGGTTCATAAACAGTCTGGTCCTCTCCCACTCTGTAAGGTCAAGCATGTGTCAATAACAGTCTTCGGATCATCTCCACTCTGTAAGGTCACAAAGTTGCTTCATTTGTCAATAACAGTATGGTCCATTCTCCACTCGTACTTTTAGGTCAAGGCATGGTCAATAAACCGTCTGGTTCCATCTCCACTTGTAAGGTTTTCAAGGCCGATGGTTCAATAAACAGTCTGGTTCAATCTCCACTCGTAAGGTCAAAGGTTGTCTGGTTCATAAATAACAGTCTGGTCCATCTCCACTTCTGTTAAGGTCAAGGCTCCTTCTTTTTATGGTCAATAACAGTTTGGTTCCTCATCTATACTACGGTAAAGGTTCAAGGCATGGTCAATAACAGTTAGGTTTCACATTCCACTCTGTAAGGCAAGGCTTTTATGCGTCAAGAACAGTCTGGTTCCATCTCCACGCGTAAGTCCTTAGGCATGTCAATAACAGTTGGTTCCATACACTCTGTAAGGTTTGCAAGTTTGTCCGGTCCAAACAGTCTGGTTTCCATTCCACTTGTAAGGTCAATGGAATGGTTCAATAACAGTATGGTTCCATGCACTCTGGAAGGCTCAAAGTGTCCTGGTCAATAACAGTCTGGTTCCCTTCTATTCTCCACTCTGTAAGGCAAGGTGTCCTGTTTCGTAACCAGGTATGGTTCCCATGCCACTCTGTAGGTCAAGGCGATGGTCACTAAATAGTTGGTTCCATCTCCACTCGTAATGTCCAAAGGTGTGTCATTGTTCAGTAATAACAGTCTGGTTACCTCTCCACTCTGTAAGGTCAAGGCATGGTAAATAACAGTCTGGTTCCAATCTCTACTCTGTTAAGGGGTCAAGGCCATGGTCAATAACTAGTCTGGTTCCATCTCTTCACGACTGTAAGGTCAAGGCTGGTCAATAAACAGTCTGGTTCCATCCTCCACAATGTTAAGGTCAAGGCAAGGTCAATAAACATGTCGGGTTCATCTCCACTATGTAAGGTCAAGCCCATGGTCAATAACAGTCTGTTCCATATCCCACACGTTAAGGTGGTCAACGCGAGGGTCAAATAACAGTCGGTTACATCTCCACTCGTAAGGTCAAGCATGGTCAATACACAGTCTGGTTTCCATCTCCACTATGTAAGGTCAAAGGCATGGTCAATAAATATGGTTCCATCTCCCACTCTGTAAGGTCAAGGCATGGCAATAACAGTATGGTTCCATCTCCACTCTGTAAGGTCAAGGCCTGGGTCCAAATACACCGTTGTTTCCATCTCCACTCTGTAAGGTCAAGGTTGGCCTGGTCAATAACCGTCTGGTTCCATCCACCACTCTGTCAGGGCAGGTGTCCTGGTCTAATAACAGTCTGGTTCCCCCCCCCCCCCCATCTCCACTCTGTAATCCGGTTCAAGGCTCATTTTTAGGTCAATAAAACAGTCTGGATTCATCTCCACTCTGTAACGGTCAAGGCATGTCAATAACAGTCTGGTTCCAATCTACACTCTGTAAGGTCAAGGGATTGCTCCATGGTAATATACAAAACAGCTTGGTTTTACATCTCGACTCTGTAAGGTCAAGGTGTCCTGGTCAATAACAGTCTGGTTCCATCTCCATCTGTAAGGTCAAGCTCTTCTAGCGTCAATAACAGTCTGGTTCCATCTCCACTTCTTGTAAGGTAAGGCTAATGGTCAATAAATCCAGGTCTGGTTCACTCCACTCTGTTCAAGTAAAGTGTCCTGGTAATAACAGGTCTGGTTCCATCTCCACTCTGTAAGGCAAGGCATGGTCAATAACAGTCTGGTTCCATCTCCATGCGAAGGTCAAGGCATGGCAATAACGTCTGGTTCCATCTCCACTCTGTAAGGTCAAGGCTGAGGTCAATAACAGTCTGGTTCCATCTCCACTCTGTAAGGTCAAGGATTTATGGTCAATTAAACGGCTGGTTCCATCTCCACTCTGTAATGGTTTCAAGGCCCATGGTAAATAACCGTCTGGTTCCATCTGACTCTGTAAGTAAAAGGCTGTCAATAAACAGTATGGTTCATCTCTACTCTGTAGTCAAAGCCATGGTCAAGCCACATATGGTTCATCTCTTACTCTGTAAGGTAAGGCCTTTTATGGTCAAACACAGTCGGGTTCCATCTCCACTCTGTAAGGTCAAGGCATGGTTCAAAATAAAACAGTCTTGGTCCATCTCCACCTGTAAGGTAAGGCTCTTGGATGGTCAATAACAGTCGGTTCCATTCATCACTTCTGTAAGGTCAGGCCTTGTTTTATGGCAATAACCAGTCTGGGGCATCTCATCTCTGAAGGTCAAAGGTGTCCTTGGTTCAATAAAAGTCTGGTTCCATCTCTACTCTGGAAAGGTCAAGGGTGCCTTCTGTCCTGGTCAATAAAACAGTCTGGTTAGCCATCTCCACTCCTTTGTTAAGGTCCAAGGTGTCTCATGGTCAATAAAGTCTGGTTCATCTCCCACTCTGTTAAGGTCAAAGTGTACCTGGTCACATAACACGATCTGTTGTGTCCTATCCACTTTTAAGGTTCAGGTGTCCTGTGTCAATAACAGTTCTCTGGATTCTTTCCATCTTACTCTGTAAGGTCAAGCTTTTGGATCTCTGGTCAATACCAACAGTCTGGTTCAATCTCCACTCTGTAAGGTCAAGGGTTCCTAAGGGGGGGGGGGGGGGTGGGGGGGGGGGGGGGGGGGGGGGGGGGGGGGGGGGGGGGGGGGGGGGGTGGGGGGGGGGGGGGGGGGGGGGGGGGGGGGGGGGGGGGGGGGGGGGGGGGGGGGGGGGGGGGGGGGGGGGGGGTGGGGGTGGTCATAACTAGTCTGGTTCCATCGCATACGCTGTAAGGTCAAGGGTTTGTCCTGGTCAAACAGTCTGGTTCCATCTCCACTCTGGTAGGTCAAGGCATGGTCAATAACAGTCTGGTTCCATCTCCACTCTTGTAAGGTCAAGGTTGTCCTGGTCACAACAGTATGGTTCCATCTCCACTCTGTAAGGTCAAGGCTGTCCCCTGCCTTTCTGGTCAAAATAAAAGTCGGGTTCCATCTCTACTCTGTAAGGTAAAGGCATGGCTCAATAAAAGTCTGGTTCCATCTTCAATCTGTAAGGTAAATGTTAGGTCAATAACAGTCTGGTTCCATCTCCACTCTTGTAAGGTCAAGGCATGCAGTCAAGAACCGTCTGGTCCATCTCACTTGTAAGGTCAAGGGCCTAATGGTCAATAATTATAGGGTGGTTGCCATTTCTCCACTCTTGTAAGGTCAAGGCCTGGTCACAATAACAGTATGGTTCCATCTCCACTTCTGTAAGGTCAATGGACTATGGTTCAATAACAGGTCTGGTTCCATCTCCCTCGTAAAGTACAACGGCTCTCTTATGGTCAATAACAGTCTCGATTTTTCCATTCTCTACTCTGTAAGTTCAAGGTGTACTGTCACAATATAATTTCTGTTTTTTTTTTTCTTTTTTGGTTCCATTATCACTCTGTAAGGTCAAGGCAGGGGTTAAACAGTCTGGTTCCATCTCCACTCTGTAAGGTCAGGGCATGGTCAATAAAACCGTCTGGTTCCATCTCCACTCTGTAAGTGCAAGGCATGCTTGTCAATAAAAGTCTGGGTCTATCTCTACTCGTAATGTAAGGTCAAGGTGTCCTGGGTCAATAACAGTCTGGTTCCACTCCACTCTGTATGTAAGGTCAAGGATATGGTCAATAAACAGTTCTGGTTCCATTTCCATCGTTTAAGGTTCAAGGGCTCATGCGTCCAAAACAGTCGGTTCCATCTCCACTCTGGAAGGTCAAGGTGTCTGCGTCAATAACAGTCTGGTCAATCGCCACCTGTAAGGTCAAGTGTCCTCCTGGTCAATAACAGTCTGGTATCCATCTCTACTCTTAAGGTCAAGGCGCTTATGGTCAAAACAGTAGCGTTCCATATCCACTGACTGTAAGGTCAAGGCTTTTCAATGGTCAATAACAGTCTGGTTCCATCTCCCACTCTGTAAGGCAAGGCCGGTCCTGGGTCAATAACAGTTCTGGTTCCATCTCCCACTCTGTACGGTCAGGTGTCCTGCGCCCCCCACAATAAACAGGTATGGTTACCATCTACTATCACTCGTAAGGTCAAGGATCTTTTAGGGTCAATAAACAGTCTGTTCCTCTCCACTCTGTAAGGGTCAAGGCCAATGGTCTTCAATAAACGTAAAGTTCCATCTCCACTCTGTAATGGTCAAGCGATCCCCATGGTCAAGAAACACTGTCTGTGTTCCATCTCTACTCTGTAAGGTTCAAGGAATTATGGTCAAATAACAGTCTTTCCATTCGGTCACTCTCCACTCTCGGAAGGTACAAGGAATGAGTCACAAAAAGTCGGGTTCCATATCCACTCTGTAAGGTCAAGGTCCTTGTCATGCGTCCATAACAGTATGGCTTCTTACCCCCCTCTGTAAGGTCAAGTGCACCCAATGGTCAATAACAGTCTGGTTCCATCTCCACTCTGTAAGGTCATGCCATGGTAGAATAACAGTCTGGTTCCATCTCCACCTATTGTCAAGGTCACCCGGTGTCCTGGTAATAACATGTCTGGTTCCATCTCCACTCTGTCTAAGGTCAGGGGTCCTGGTCAATCACAGTCTGGTTCCAATCTCTACTCTGGAACCGGTCAAGGCTATGGTCATAACGTATCGGTTCACTCACTCGTAGGTCAAGGTGTCTGGTCAATAAATCAGCTGGTTCATTCTCACTTGTATAGGTCAAAGGGCATGCGTCAATAAAAGTATGGTTCCATCTCCACTCGTAAGGTACAAGTGTTCCTGGTAATAATCAGTTGGTTCCATTATCCACTCTGTAAGTCAAGGGACTTTTTTTCTTTTTCTATGGTCAATAAACAGTCTGGTTCCATCTCCACTTCTGTAAGGTCAACGCATCTGGTCAATTAACAGTTGTGGTTCCATCTTCACTCTGGTAATTGTCAAGGCATGTTGGTCATAAACAGTCTTGGTTCCATCTCCACTCTGTAAGGTAAGCCATGGGCATAACAGTTCTGGTTCCAGTCTCCATCTGTAAGGTCAAGGCCAGAGTCAATAACGTCTGGTTCATCCTCACTCTGTAAGGTCAATGCAGGTCAAAACAGTCTGGTTCCATCTCCACTCGTGTCAAGGTAAAGGCATGGACGATCAGTGGTTCCATACTCCACTCGGTTTACGTCAAGGCAGGTTCCCCCCCCCCCCAATAACAGTCTGGTTCCATATGTTCAACTCTTGTAAGTCAAGGTGTCCTGTAAATAAACAGTATGGTTCCATCTCCACTTGTATTCTCAGGTCAATTGGTGTCCTGGTCAATAACAGTTTTTGGTTCATCTCCACCTCTGGAAGGTCAAGGCCTTTATGGTAATAACAGTTGGTTCCATCATCCATATGTAAGGTCAAGCATGGTCAATAACGTCTGGTTCAGACTCCACTCTGTAAGGGTCAAGCTTTTCTTCGCATGGTCAATTAACAGTGCTCGGTTCCATCTCCCACTCTGTAAGGTCAAGGCATGGTCAATAACATTTCTGGTTCCATCTCCACGCTGTAAGGTCAAGCCTCATGGATCAATAAACAGTCTGGTTCCATATCCACTCTGGGTAGGTCAGAGGCATGGTCAATAAACAGTCTGGTTCCATCTCCACTCTTTTTAAGGTCAAGGGGTCTTTTAGGGTCAATAACAGCATGGGTCCATCTCCACTCTAAGGTCAAGGCTCGATGGTCAATAACAGTCTTCGGTTACATCTCACCTTGTCAAGGTCAAGGTGTCCTGGTCAATAACAGTATGGTTCCTCTCCACGTCGTAAGGTCCAAGCATGGTCAATAAAGTCTGGTTCATCTCCACTCTGTAAGGTCAAGGCCATGGTCAATAACAGTAGGGTTCCCTCTCCACTCTGTAAGGTCAAGGCTTTTTAGGGTCATAACAGTTGGTTACATCTACAACTCTGGGTAAGGTCAATGGATGGTCAATAAACAGTCTGGTTCCATATCACTCTGTAGGTCAAGGGTGTCCGGTCATTAAACAGGTTGGTGTTGCGTCGCCATTTCCTGAGTTTGGGGGGTAAGCCTCGCGCAAAACCGAAGTCTTTTGGATAAGCCCTTATTCGATCGGGGGTTGAGGGGGGGGAATTTCTTCTTTAAAAGGGCAAGGGGCGGCAGTCCACGCACACACTAGCCACAAACAGAATTGTCGGGACAGCAGCAGCTATATTTGCGGGCAGCAGCGACTTAGGGTCGGTCGGACACTTGGCAGCGCGCGCTGCTTTATACAACAGGCATGGCATGCACACGGCACTTTGGCACACCCCCAACGGCAGACCCACATATCTCAAGGCCCCATCTCAAGCAAAACATCAAAGCAAAGGTGGCTTAGGCCACTCTTTTTCGGTTTTCCCGCTTGTTGGGATTCTCCTGGCCTGTTGCTCTTGTATTGTAGTTGTCGTTTTTGATGGCGGCCTTTTTTTTCTTTTGCTATTTCCCGGGCTTTTGTGGCTTTCTTTGTGGGGTTTCGGCGGTTCCCAGTGAGTTTTCGGGCTTGCCCCCTTTGGCTTGTTTGTCCCGGTTGGGTGTAAGGGTTTTTGTTCGCGTTGGAGTGCCTCCCTCTTGGTTTTTACGGGGCCCCTTTTTCCGGTTTTCTGTTGGGTCGTTCCCGGCTGCAGGTTTTCTGGAGCGTGCCGTCTCTACGGCCTCTTTTTCTTCTCGTTCTTCTTCCCCCTTGGTTTTTTTAGGGGCCCCTATCGGTGTCATGTCCTACTTTTCTTTTTACGCGCGTACTTGTTTCCTTCATTTTTTCTTTTATTTGTGAGGTGGGGACTTCCTCACTCTGTGTCCTTTGGCCCTTGCCCCTTATTTTTTTTTGTTTTTCTTCTGTTTCCCTTCCGTGCGTTTTTTGCTGCTCCTCTTCCTGCCTTCCCCTTATTTTTTCTACTCTTTCGTGTGTTTTTATGCCTCCTTGCTTTCTTTTTCTACTCTTTTTTTGCTTTTCTTCCGCGCTCTTTCTGTACTCCGTTTTCTTGTCCTTTTTGGTGGGTTTGGGGTCCTGTGTTCTTTTGGGTCCCCACGTTCCCCTCCCTCTTGTCTGGTCCCGCGTTTTTTTTTCCTGTTTTCTTTTTCCTTTGTTTCTGTCTACTCCTATGATCCCATCCTCCCGATCCTCTTTATCCTTCTCTTTTTTTCTGTCTGTCTATGGAACCTCTGGTCCGTGCTACCTGCTCTCCCCCCCTTTTTCCCCTCTCCTTTTCTCTTTTCTTTTTTTTTTTCCTCTTCTTTTTCTCCCTTGGTTTGTTCTTTAGAGCACTTATGCTTCCCCAAGATCCTGCCTCTTTCCGCCCCTCTGGGTCCTGGGTTCTCCCTTCCTTCCCTTTTCTCTGGTCCGATTCTATCTCAGTCCCTCCATTCTTATAGCATATGGTTTTTCATGGTGTTTTTGCCTGCTAATAATCTGCTTTCACCTTTCTGCCTCTTTCTTTTTCTTTACCCCATGTTGCTGCTTTTTTCTGTATGTCAATAAGTTTGTGTTCCCCATGCATTCTCTTCTTAGGGTTTCCCTTAGTGGTCACCCCCCCTTCTCTCCCTATTTTTTCACCTCGCCCTGCCATCCTAACTTTTCCCTTTATAGCCTTTCGGCTACCTGCTGGTCAACTGTTCTGCTTCTCATTTCTCCCATCCCCCCTCCCATCTGGTCATTCCCTTCTACTAATTGGCTGCTGGTTAAATTTGGGTAAATAAATGCCTGAGCTTCTGCTCATGCCCGGCTTCCTGCCTTTCTGGTCAATCCTCATGATTCTTCCTCTCCTGTCGGTCATCTGCCTTACTCTTCCCCCCCCCTCCCACTGATCCCACCCCGGCTTCTTTGATCTCCTCCCATTTTGTTTCCCCCCTCACCCCTCCCCTCCTGCTTTTTTCCCCCTTTCCGTCAATACAGTCTGGTTCCATCTCAACTCTGTAAGGTCAATGGGTGTCCTGGTCAATTTATCAACAGTCTGGTTCCATCTCTTCAACTCTTTGTCAGCTGTCAAGGCATGGTCAATAACAGTTTCTCGGTTCCAAATCATCCACTATTCCGTAAGGTCAAGGTTGTCCGGGTCAATAACAGTTCTGGTTCCATCTCCACTCTTGTAAGGTCAAGGCTATTGGTCAATACTAAGTCTTTTTTTTCCGGTTCATTCTCAATATTGTAGGTCAAGGCCCAATGGTAATAACCAACGGGTCCATCTCCCCTCTGTAAAGGTCAGGTGTCCTGGCTCAATAACAGTCTTCGGTTCCATCTCCACTCTGTCAAGGTCAACGGCATGGTTCCAATAAAAGTATGGGTTCCCATCTCCACCCTTCATCCTGTAGGTCCAAGGGGTCCGGCGCCTCAATTTAAACAGTATTGGTTTCCATCTCACTTTCTGTAAGATTCAAGGCTAGTGGTCAATAAAAGCTCTAGGTTTTGTTTCCCATCTCCACCCCCTCTGTAAGGTCAAGGTTTTTGTACCCCCGTATGGTCAATCAACCCAGTCCCGCCCGGTTCACATCTCCACCAATCTGTAAGTCAAGGCATATGGTCAATAACAGTCTGGTTCCATCTCCACTCTTGTCCAAGGTACAAGGTGTCAGGGTCACAATAACATGGCTGGTTCCATCTCCACTCTGTAACGGTCACTTAGGCAGGTCAATAACAGTCTGGTTCCATGTCTCCAATCTGTAAGGTCAGGTGTCCTGGGTAAATAAAGTCTGGTTCATCTCTACTCGGTTAAGTAATGGTTCTCCTCTGTCCTGGTCAACCCACACCGTCTTTGGCTTCACCATCTCCACTTCGTAAGTAATAGGTGGTCCTGGGTGCAATAACAGTCATCGGTGTCCATTCTACACTCTGTAAGTCAAGGTCGTCCTGTCAAATAACCAGTCGGTTACATCTCCTCCTACTCTGTAGGTCAATGTGTTTCGTCCTGGTCAATAACAGTCTGGTGCCATCTCCACTCGTAAATGGTAAATGGTTAATGGTCACAATAACAGTCTGGTATCATCTCCACTCTTGTGAAGGTCAACGGTGTCTCTGTCAATAACGTCTGGTTCCATCCCACTCTGGAATGGTCAAGGATATCGGTCATAAACCAGTCTGTGTTTCCATCTCCACTTGTAAGGTCAAGGTCTTTTATGGTCAATAACAGTCGGGTTTCCATCTCCCCATCTGTAAGGTCAAGGTGTGCATTGGTTCATTCAACAGTCTGGTGCTTACACCACACATGCTGTAAGCGTCAAGGTGTCTTTTGGTATTCCCCTTTAATACCCGTCTGGTTGCATCTCCACTCTGAAGGTCAATATGATCCAGGTCAATATTACAGTCTGCCTACCATCTCCACTCTCCAGTAGCGTAAATGCATGTCCTAATAACAGTGGTTCCTCTCCTTCTATGTAATTGGTGAAAGCATGGTCAATAAAAAGTTGGTCCATTTCTATCTGTCCGGTAAAGATGGTCAAAACAGTTGGTTCAATTCACTGGTAAGGTCTCCAAGGATGGAATAAACAGTGGTCCCTTCACTGTAAGGTCAAGGCATTCATGGTCAATAACTAGCCTCCTCTTGGCCCCCCTTCTTTCTCCCTTCACCGTTAAGGTCAAGGTGGTCACTTGTGCAACATCTGGAGAGGACTGGAGACACCACAGCCACAGAGGTTCAGGTGTATGTGTGGGACGGTGTCGATGGTGACTGTTCCGCGTTGTTCCACGTAGGGACCATGTCGCCCCACACTGGTCAGGTCAAGTGGCCTGTGGTTGTTTTGGGTTCTTCAAGAAAGTGGGCCGTGATCCGTGCCACGAGAGGCATGTTGTGTAAGGTAAGGTTGTCTACCTTGTTTTGTCATTAAATAACAGTCTGGTCGTCCCATTCCACTCCGTATAGGTCACAAGTGCATGGTCAATAACAGTGCTTGGTTCCATCTCAACTCTGTAGGTACAAGGCATGGTCTAATAAACGTCTCCGGTTCCACATTCTATACTCTGTAGGTCAATTTGGTGTTCCCCTGGTCACTAACAGTCGGGTTCCATCTCCCACTCTGTAAAGGTGACAAGGCATGGTCCATAACAGCTCTGAGTTCCACTTGTCACTCTGTAAGAGTCACAGGTGCTGTCAATTTAACGTCGGGTTTCACCACTCCACTCCTGCACCCGTTCCTATAGGTCAAGGCGAGGTCATCAGAACAGTCTCCGGTTCCACTTATCACACTCTGTAACGGGCAAGGTTCCCCATGGTCAAATAACAGTCTGGGTTTCCACTTCTTCTCTTTCCTCTCCACTCAGTAAGGTTCAAGGCATGCGTCAATAACAGTCTGGTTCCATCTCCCCACTCTGGACAAGGTCCATGTGTCCTGGTCAAAACAGTCGGGTTCCCACTCATACCACTCTGTAAGGTCAAGGCAATGGCTCAATAACTAGTCTGGTCTCCATCCCTCCACTCTGCTATCAAGGTCACGGAGCATGGTCAATAAAGTCTGGTTCCTTCCTCCAACATGTACGGTACAAGGTCGCATGGTCCACCCCACAGTCTGGTTCATCTCCACTCTGCTAAGTCAATGGCCCATGGTCTAATAACAGTCTGGTTCATACTCCACTCGTCAAGGTAAGCACATCAGGCTCCAAATAACAACCAGTCTCGGTTCCATCTCCACTCTTCAGGTCAGGCATGGTCAAGAACCGTCTGGATTCATCTCCACTCTGTAGGTCAAGGCATGTCAAAAAATTAACACCGTCTGGTTCTCCCTCTCGACTCTGTGGAGCCGTCAAGACCCGCCCCCCCCCCTTCCCCTCTATGGCTCAATCAAATGTCTGGTTCCATATGACCACTCTGTAAGGTCAAGGCAGTGGGCAAATAAACATACGCTTCCTGGTTCCCACTCTCCACTCTCTGTTAAGGTCAACTGGCATGCGTCAATAACAGTTCTGGTTCCACATCTCCACTCTGTAACTTTGGTCAAGGCTTATGGTCAAAAACCCAGTCTGGTTCCCCACTTCCAATATGTTCTGCCGCAAGGTCAAGGGCATGGTCAACATACAGTGTGGTTCCATTTTCGTCTCAATCTCGTAGCGCTCAAGGCGGCTCCCATGGTACCAATAACCAGCGCGGTTACATCTTCTATATGGTGTTAAGTTGTCAACGGTGCCATCACTTGGTCACATAACAGTGCCTGTCGTTCCATCTCCACTCGGTAGGTCAAGGTGGCCGCTCCGTCATAACCCAGTCTTTGGTTCCCATATCCACCGACTGTACCCCGTGCCAATTGGACCCATGAGTCAATATACAGTCTGGTTCCATCTACATGCCCCGGTAAGGGCAAGGTTCTGTTCTATGCGTCAATAAAACAGTATTGGTTCCATCTCACTATGTAAGGTCAAGGACATCCGGTCTTTAATAACAGTCTGGTTATTCATATTCCATTCCTCTGTAAGGCGGGGGGGGGGGGGGGGGCAAACCGGGGGGGGGCGAAACACGTTTTGGACGGGTCTTTGTTACGCGTTGCCGAAACTTGCTTCCGCAGGTGAGGAAGGGGAGCCAGCAGGCCAGACTGGTGGCCTATGAAAGCTATATTTGCCTGACGTTTGTGTGTGTAGGACTGATCGAGGGCCTGGAAGGTACGGACGGTTGGACCGTTCCTCACAGCTCCCATAGGACAAGCACATGCGACCTTGTAAATTAGATGCGAGTCCTCTTAAACTGGAGACCATTGGAGGTGTGCGGAGCGAGCGGGTGACGGTGCAGAGAACTGGG